AGACCCTCACATCTCTATCTAGTGAAGGAGAGAAAACTGTTAACGCTAGGTTAAAGATTTTAACTGCTTTGTTATGTAAACTTAGCAGCTTATTTTCATCCTCAAAACATCTCAGGCAGGGCGCGGTGACTCACACCTGTAACCCCAGCACTTTAGGAGGGCGAGACTAGCAGATCACTTGAGGTGAGGAGTTCGATACCAGCAGCCTGACCAACAAGGTGAAACCCTGTCTCTACTAAATATACAAAACTTAATTGGTGTGGCGGGCACCTGTAATCCCAGCTACTAGTGGGGCTGAGGCATGAGTATCAGTTAAATTCGGGAGGCAGAGGTTACAGTGAACTGAGATAGTGCCACTGCACCCCAGCCTGGGCAACAAAGGGAGACTGAGACTGCCTCAAAAAAATAAATAAATAAAAAACACTCAACCCAAACAAACAAAAAAAAATCTCAAATCAAATGGACCTAGCAGCTCATGGCTGTAATCCCCAGCACATTGGAAGGCGAAGGCAGGAGGATCCCTTAAAATCAGGAGTTTGAGATGAGACTGGGGAACAAAATGAGACCCCCATCTATTTAAAAAAAAGAAAAAAGCTGGGCATGGTGACACACACCTGGAGTCACAGCTAATGACAAGGCTGCAGTGAGCTATTATTGTGGCACTGGACTCCAGCCTGGGTGACAGAGCAAGGGTGTCTAAAAAATAATAAAAGTTTTAAATCCCATAGATGAATCTTTTTGACTTTTATTTTTTATTGTTTTCTAGTGTGCAGCCCACTTCAGTGCCAGCAGGCTACAGGCAGAGGCCAGGCAATGGTTCGGGGCTACAGTTTGATCTGGCATGGGGTACTATGAGAGGCCCAGGGGGACGGACCCATCATAAATCCAAACCCATGCATTGTTTTAAATTTATTTATTTTGGACCAGACACGGTGGCTCACTCCTGTAATCCCAGCACTCTGGGAGGTGGATCATCTGAGGCCAGGAGTTCGAGACCAGCCTGGCCAACATGGTGAAACCCCATCCCTACTAAAAATACAAAAATTAGCTGGGCGTGGTGGCTCGCGCCTGTAATCCAGCTACTTGAGAGGCTGAGGCAGAATTGTTTGAACCTAGGAGGCAGAGGTTGCAGTGAGCTGAGATCACACCATTGCACTCCAGCCTGAGTGACAAGAATGAGACTCCGTCTCAAAAAATAAAAAATAGCCGGGCGCGGCGGCTCAAGCCTGTAATCCCAGCACTTTGGGAGGCCAAGGCGGGTGGATCACGAGGTCAAGAGATCGAGACCATCCTGGTCAACATGGTGAAACCCCGTCTCTACTAAAACTACAAAACATTAGCTGGGCATGGTGGTGCGTGCCTGTAATCTCAGCTACTCAGGAGGTTGAGGCAGGAGAATTGCCTGAACCCAGGAGGCAGAGGTTGCGGTGAGCCGAGATTGCGCCATTGCACTCCAGCCTGGGTAACAAGAGTGAAACTCCGTCTCAAAAAAAAAAATAAATAAATAAAATAATAAATAAATAAATAAAAAATAAATCTTTTCTGTCCATTTTTGCCACAACCAGTGAATGGCAGGGCCAAGAGACAAGTAAACAGGGACCTGCAGTCCAGTGTCAACTGCGGAAGATAGGCTCTTCTCAGAAGGGATGTTTAGGTTGGGTCTTGAAGGTAAAGTTGGGGTTGGGGAATTGTGGAGGCTATTCTCAGAGGTGTTTTAAGTTCGGGCTTGAAGGTAGAATTCTGGTTGGGGAAATGTGGAGAGAGCCCCTAAAGCTGCATTTCAGGGTCCTTAGAGCTTGCAGATGTTCCCTGGGGTAGAATGGGGGTAGGGGACAAAAAGCAAGAGGGTTTTGGAAGTGAGGTTAAAGGACCCAAGGTAGCAAAGCCTTGAGGGCTTAGAGGGGAAAGATGGATCTGGAGCTGGAACTCACAGCAGTGGACCTGGGCTTGAGGGAAAGGAGATGGGACTGGCTTCATTTCCTAGCTTGGGTGACTGCAGGACAGTGTCACTAAGATGAGGTGCAGGGTAAAAAGCAAGATAAGAGCTGAAGTGGGGGCAATTGTTACACCCGTCTGGACATGCTGAATGTTAGGTCAGCATGAGAAAGGTGATTGGCAATAACAGAGATATCAGTCTGGAGTCCATGACACCATGTCCAGAAGAAAGCACATAAGAGTCTTAAAAGTGGCCGGTGCCAGGCGTGGTGGCTCATACCTGTAATCCCAGCACTTTGGGAGACCCAGGTGGGTGGATCACCTGAGGTCAGGAGCTCCAGACCAGCCTGGACAACATGGCAAAACCCCTTCTCTCTACTAAAGATACAAAAAAATTAGCCGGGTGTGACCAGGAGATGGAGGTTGCAGTGAGCAGAGATCGCCCCAGTGCACTCCAGCCTCAGTGATAGTGAGACTCTGTCTCAAAAAAAAACAACAACAAAAAAGGCCAGGCGTGGTAGCTCACGTGGTAATCTTGGCACTTTGGGAGGCAGGGGCAGTAAGATTGCTTGAGGCCAGGAGTTTAACTTGGGCAACATGATGAGACCCCCATCTCCACTAAAAATAAGGAAAAGGAAGAAAACCAGGTAAGCATCTTATCTGGGAAATCTAGAGGAAGGTGTTTCAGGGAGTGGGGAGGGTCAGCTGCTGCTCTGGTGCCCGCTGCATTTGTAATGAGGGTGGGGATAAGTGGTGAGTAATTTTAGTGGAGGGGAATCGTGAAAGCCAGCCAGGAGGCAAGGTTGTAAATGGGACAGTGGGGAAGCGGAGTCCGGGAGTATAGACAACCCTTTGAAGAGGCTGCTGGAGGTTTGATGGTTTTGCTTTTGTCAACAGGGAAGGAACTCACATGTCCTTTCTGCACAGGTAGGAAGGGCTAATGAAGAGAAGCTGATCATACAGAAGGGAAAGCAGACATCCAATCAAGGAGAGGAAGGAAACCAGGGCTTCATAAGGATGGTTATCACTGGAGAGCCAGAGGAAAGGCAGGTTTGGGCACATAATCTGATGCGTTGTTTTAGCTGGGAAATAAGAATGGGAGTCACTAGCTAAGAAACGTAAGAGAGCAAGGCCAGGAAAGGAGAATGCCTCAGTTTACTAACGTGGAGACTGGCTCAGAGAGGCAGCAAGTCAGCAACCATTGTAGATTCAGAGAATATAGATGTCCCTTGGTGTACACAGGGGACTGTTTCCAGGACATACCCCACCCCCACCATATACCCAAATCCACACATAACCCCTAGTCAGCCCTGCAGAACCCACATATAGGAAAAGCTGGTCCTCCACATACATGGGTTTTGCATTCCACAAATACTGTTTAGTTGATCCATTATAGATCCATGTTTAGTTGAAAAAAATTCAACCAACCAAATGTGGACTCACGCAGCTCAAACCCGTGTTGTTCAAGGCTCAACTATAGTTTAAAGGTCCTTTCCCCAGCATGAGCCTACCCTGTGATGGAGGCAGCCAGAGGTATCTCAGGAAAAAGTGATGTGCCCAAAGTCACACAACAGGCAAATCTGACGCACTCACACACTATTTTTTTTTTTTTTTTGAGGCAGAGTCTCACTCTGTTGCCCAGGTTGGAGTGCAGTGGCGCAGTCTCAGCTCACTGCAACCTCTGCCTCCCGGGTTCAAACAATTCTCCCTGCCTCAGCCTCCCAAGTAGCTGGGATTACAGGTCCCTGCTACCATGCCCAGCTATTTTTTGTATTTTTTAGTAGAGATGGGGCTTTACCACGTTGGCCAGGCTGGTCTTGAACCCCTGACCTCAGGTGATCCGCCTGCCTTGGCCTCCCAAAGTACTGGGATTGTAGGTGTGAGACACCATGCCCTGAAACACTATCATTTTTTTGTTGTTGAGACAGGGTCTCATGATATTGCCCAGGCTGGAGTGCAGGGCATTATCTCAACTCATTACAACCTCCACCTCCTGGGTTCAAGTGATCTTCCTGCCTCAGCATCCCTAGTAGCTGCGATTATAGGTCTGTGCCACCATGCCCGGCTAATTTTTGTATTTTTAGTAGAGACGGGGTTTAACCATGTTGGCTGGGTTGGTCTTGAACCTCTGACATCAGGTGATCCACCATGCCTGGCCCTCAACACTATCTTTAGGTGGAGAGGAAAAACAATGAATTGGCTTTGGTGCGGCAGGGTGGGTAGCCTTTACTTTTACCAAGGAGGAAGCCCTATTTCGCCCCAAATCAGAGACCTGACCCTGATTTCTTGCTCTAGTCCCCTGATAGTTGAGAATAAATGGCAAACAAGGCCAGGTGTGGTGGCTCACGCCTGTAACCCAGGCACTTTGGGAGGCCAAGGCAGGTGGATCACGAGGTCAGGAGTTCGAGGCCAGCCTGGCCAACAGTGAAACACTCTCTACTAAAATTACAAAAATTAGTTGGGTATGGTGGCACATACCTATAGTCCCAGCTACTCGGGAAGCTGAGGCAGGAAAATTGCTGGAACTTGGGAGGTGGAGGTTGCAGTGAGCTGAGATCATGCCACTGCACTCCAGCCTGGGTGACAGTGAGACTAAGTCTCAAAAAAATATATAAAATAAAAAGGTAAACCAGCCAGGCTCAGTGGCTCATGCCTGTAATCCTAGCACTTTGGGAGGCCGAGGCGGCGGATCACCTGAGGTCAGGAGTTCAAGACCATCCTGGCCAACATGGTGAAACCCCATCTCTAATAAAAATACAAAAATTAGCCGAGTGTGATGGTGGGCACCTGTAATCCCAGCCACTCAGGAGGCTGAGTTATGAGAATCACTTGAACCTGGGAGGCAGAGGTTGCAGTGAGCCAACATTGTGCCACTGCACTCCAGCCTGGCCTACAAGAGTGGGACTCTGTCTCAAAAGTAAGTAAATAAATAATAACAATAAATAAAATAAAGAATTTAAAAAATGCAAATAGGTAATAACAATGACCACAAACTTACCAAGTATAGTTTACCACGTGCCAGGCCTGCCCTGAGCACTCACATAACTCACCGAAACCTCACAACCCTATTGGGCAGGCACTATTCTTTTTATTTTACAGACGAGGAAGCTGACGTGCAGAAAGATTAAGTAATTTGAGTAATGTCATCCAGCTTGCAAGTGTCAAAGATGGCATTTGAACCCAGACAGCCTGGCTCTAGCATCTGGACTCTTACAGTCTCCAATCTCTAAAAGGAGAGGAAGGAACTTATATGACATTCTACTGGGAATTTTCTAGAAGCCAGATCTCTCTGCCCTGCAGGCAGAAGGTACAATAGGGAAACAAGAATGGGGCTCAGAGGCACCCCTGGTCCCCTCACCATCACCTGCTGAGACAGAGAGCCTCCCTTGGCCATCCAGGAAGAATCTAGAAGTTATCACTCAAAACCACTTTACTGGGAGAGCAAACATCAGGAGGCAACCTTCTAGAGGCTGCTGAGCTTCAGACCTCAGGAAATGGAGGCCTCAGGCCCATGATCTATTCGGAAAAGACTAGAAAAAGGCTCCAAGGCCAAGCCACCCTCTGTTCCTCAGACACTACCCTGAGTTGCAAGTCCTATGGCCATCTTTCTAGGTTGAGGCCTGGCCCGTGGAGTCACAGGGAAGGTCCGCGGGCCCCACAGCCTGGTCTTCAGAGATGGTCCCGTGGGGCAATTCTGTATACTTGCGGGAGGAGCTGCGGGCCAGATGGGCTGGGTAGCGTCGCCGGTTGATGTCCATTTTGGAGAGCACTGCTTGGGGCAGATCCACGCGGCAGCGGGCTGCTAATGCCACCAGGTAGATGAGGACATCACTAAGCTCCTCTTGAAGGGCAGCCCGTTCCCTGGAGGACCAGCCTTGGGGGCCAGGCTCCCCATCGGTTTTCCACTGACTAGGGGCAGAACACAAACAGACACACACTCAAATGTAACCTGGGGCTATGGGCTTTGCCAGTCCTTGCAGTAATAACGCCCACCTCCAAGGACGACCCAACCCATCTGGGCCCTGGGAAGAGTCAGGTGCGGAAGAGACCCCAACAGATGATACCAAGATGTCTGTGTCACTTCGTGGGCCAAGGTGTGGCCAAATGAACATTTCATTTGTTAAGACAAAACTTTGAGACAATTCTAATTCTCCCCAGCCCTAGCCATCACCACCCCAGATCAAACCTCAGACCAGGACCAGTGCAGAAGCCTCCCCACTCATCTCCCTGCTAACTCATCTTCTACTCCCACCCAAACCATCTTTTTTTTTTGAGATGGAGTCTTGCTGTCGCCCAGGCTGGAGTGGAGTGCAATGGTGTAATCTCACCTCACTGCAACCTCCACTTCCCGGGTTCAAGCAATTCTTCTGCCTCAATTCTCCCTTCCACAGTAGCTGGGATTACAGGCATGTGGCACCACACCCAGCTAATTTTTGTATTTTTAGTAGAGACGGGTTTTGCCATGTTGGCCAAGCTGGTCTCAAACTCCTAACCTCAGGTCATCTGCTAGCCTCGGCCTCCCAAAGTACTGGGATTACAGGTGTGAGCCAAGGCAACCGGCCCAGACCATCTTTTTTTTTTTTTTTTTTTTTAATTTAATTCTTTTACTCTACAGTGTTCAGCAGGACCGGACCATCTTTTAAAAGCACAAATTAGGCCAGGCATGGTAGCTCACACCTGTAATCCCAGCACTTTGGGAGGCTGAGGTGGGTGGATCACAAGGTCAGGTGTTCAAGACCAGCCTGGCCAAGATGGTGAAACCCCAACTTTACTAAAAATACAAAAAACTTAGCTGAGTGTGGTGGCGGGCACCTGTAATCCCAGCTACCCGGAAGGCTGAGGCAGAGAACTGCTTGAACCTGGGAGGTGGAGGTTGTAGTGGCCGAGATCGTGCCACTGCACTCCAGCCTGTGACAGACTCCATCTCAAAAAAAAAAAAAGCACAAATTACATTTTGCTCCTTCCCTGCTAAAATCCAAACTGTGCTTGGAATACAATCTAAACTCCTGACCAAGCCCTCCTGTCCTTCATGGGCTGCCCCTGCCTTTTCCACGGCCATTGCTCACCACTGTCTCTCTTACTCCCCACCCAAGGCCACTCTAGCTTGTTCCACCTTGCACACAAGCCAGGCTGTCACAGGGCCTTTGCACTCACAGCTCCCTCTGCCTTGAACGCTTTCCCCCTTCCCCATCAGTCCCAGGGCTAGGTCCTTCCTGTTATTCAGGTCTCGGCCTAGATGTCACCACCTGGCTTATCACCTTGTGGTTTTTGGGTTT